GTACTAAAGCGCCGACGTGTCAGTGATTATGCAAGTTACCACAGGCGCTGTTTGCAAACACTATGTCATCCTCTGTGTCTTTGCAGCGGCCATCCTATGCTGATATGCGGCAGGACACGAATCATCAGCAACAGTAGTGGCCATCTGCGGGACCATGCCACTGGCGGAAAACATACCGCCAGTGGAGTGCCATCGTCAGGCGTTTGCCGCTCAGTCTCGTACAGCCACCGCAGGAGAAGCTGCGGAAGCTGCAGCAGGAGACCTGGATGCTCGAGCAAGAGAACCTCAGGGCCGAGGCCGAGGCGGAGCGCGAGCGGAAGGCGCGGGAACTCGAGGCTCAGCGCCGAAAGGACCGATTCGGAAGAAAAGAAGGTTTTAACACAACCGCTGAGAGGCCCGCGCGGATGTATTTGGGTCGGCTCCGGACCCACCTGCCTTGGCACGCGAAGTGCGTCAGGGACGGCGCCAGAGGCGCCACGGACGGCACCGTCAATGGCGCGCTTCCAGCGCCAGGTGAGGGGGGTCCAGCGCCGACCCAACAAGTCCGCGTGGGCTTCTGGAAGGCTGTGTTCTTGTCGTTGGTCTCTGCCTTCCCAGGAGGAGGAAGAGAGGAAGGCCGCCGAGGAGAAGCGCAAGGCCGAGGCCAACGAGGCCGCCAGTCTCCTGCAGGCGGAACTGTCGCCCCTGGTGGACATCGCCGAGCTGGAGCAGGGCAAGGCTAGTGACAAGGCCCCGCACTCCCGTTTCTTCATCATCATCAGCATCATCATCAGCATCAGCATCAGCATCAGCATCAGCATCATCATCATCATCATCATCATCATCATCATCATCATCATCATCATCATCAGCATCAGCATCAGCATCAGCATCAGCATCAGCATCATAATCAGCATCAGCATCAGCATCAGCATCATCATCATCATCATCATCAGCAGCAGCAGCAGCAGCAGCACTCCTCCTCATCACTCCTCCTAATCGCTCCTCCTCCTCCTCCTCCTCCTCCTCCTCCCCCTCCTCCTCCTCCTCCTCCTCCTCCTCCTCCTCCTCCTCCTCCTCCTCCTCCCCCTCCTCCCCCTCCTCCTCCTCCTCCTCCTCCTCCTCCTGCTCCTCCTCCTCCTCTCCGTCCTCCTCCTGTCCCTCCTCCTCCGCGTGGAGGAGAGAGAGGAGGAGGAGGAGGAGGAGGAGGAGGAGGAGGAGGAGGAGGAGGAGGAGGAGGCGGAGGAGGAGGAGCAGGAGCAGGAGCAGGAGCAGGAGCAGGAGCAGGAGCAGGAGCAGGGGTAAGGGGGGGGAGGCTTCTCAGAAGCAGCCCTGCTTCTTCGAAGGCGCCGGGCCCGCGCCTCCCGGCCTCCCTCGAGGTAGCCGACCCCCCCTCCCCCCTGCCCCCCTGCGCGCACCGCCAGCACGAGTGGACGAGTTGCGCGGTGTCAGAACCCACCGTGCACGTCGTCACGACTCCCGACACGAGCCTGCCGTTCCACTTCCTCTCGCAGGGCCCTCGGCCTTCCTAAGAATCACCTGGCATCGCTCGGACGTGTGCATTTTTCCCTCGGCGAGAGCCATCGAGGAGCATCCTTGATCATTTCGCGAAAAAACCACGCACGAAACCGACAAAAGCACAGGGAATGGACGTTCGAGCGATGGCCAGATCATGGTTGTTTCCTTGCTGGCGGCTCTCCTTCACGTCGGCGTCCTGGGGCCAGTGTCAGGCCCCAGGACGAGCAAAAAGAGCCCAGGGTAGCAGCAGTGCCCACAAGAAAGACATCTGGGATCTGATGTCGGATGCCTGGGATCTCACTTTCTGCTCCTCTCTCCCTCTTCCGTGCCCACTCCCTCGCGCGCTTCGCGCGTCATTGGCGGCGCTGGAGGCGCCGCCAGGACAGTCCAGCGCCGATCCAAGAGATCCGATCGGACTTATGAAGTTCACGTTTGAGCAAGTTGTTCGTCCTTTCAGATTTCCACTTCCCGGCTCCCACTCTCTTCTCCCTATGTTTTCCCTCGCTGTCTCCATCCTCCATCCATCCCAGGACGCGAGCTAAACAGTGTTTTAGCCATTTCGTGGACCGTTTTCGTTGTGACCTCGTGTTGCAGCAAAGGCGGAACGAAGACAGAACGATAGAAGACGAGAACAAGCACAGATAACGAAACGCAGTGTGTTGCTCGCGCCCTGATCCTTCCATCTCGTAGCCCAAAGCGGGGCAGCGGGAGCCGGGGGCGAGGCGGAGTTCGCAGACAAGTCAAAGGATTGGGCGGACGACGATGTCATCAAGGCTGCGGATGCCTTTGGCAAGGCCGCCGTGGCCGCCAGAGAGGCGGTGAAGGCCTGCAAGGACTTCATGGTCGGCGACTAGGGCTGCAGAAGAGAAGGGGGAGGAGGAGGAGGAGGCGGATAACGAGGGGGAAGAGGAGGAGGAGGAAGAAGAGGAGGAGGAGGAGGAGGAGGAAGAAGAGGAGGAGGGTGAGGAGGAGGAGGAGGGTGAGGAGGAGGAGGGGAGGGAGGAGGAGGAGGAGGAGGAGGAGGAGGAGGAGGAGGCGGAGGTTGATGATGAGGAGGAGGAGGAGGAGGAAGAGGAGGAGGAGGAGGAGGAGGGCGGAGGAGGAAGTCGAGCTTACGGAAAACAGGAGGCCGGGATGTCGTGCAGAGGGCGGGTCGGTCGGAAGCTGGTTGGGCTGCGAGCCGGGGAGGCCTGTGCCAAGGCGGCAGCGCCCTTCGTCTCGGCTGGCCACGTGCACGCGGGCCCGAGCTGCGCAGCAGTAGAGGCGAGGCGGAGTGGCGCGAGGAGGCGAGGCGAGGCGAGGCGCGGCGCGCGAGGCGAGGAGAAGTTTGCGCGAGGACGAGAGGGACGTTTTCCCAGAGCCAGGGGCGAGTCGGGCCAGATGGTTTCACCGCGTGCCCGGCGCGTGCGTGATACTGCCGCTGCATGGTGGCCCCGCGGTATGCTCGCGCTGTTGTGCCCGGCGCGTGCGTCTCGGGATGTCCCAGGGTTGCCCCGCTGGTGCCCCGTGACTGTCCCGCACAGTTGTGGAGTGGTGGTCCCAGTGGTTGTCGTTGTCGCGTGGTTGCCTTGTGGTTCTTCCGTGGTTGCCCCGTGTGTGAGTAGGTAATGAGATGCTTTGGCACGTAGGTGCAATCAGTTCTTTGGATGTGCATTTACGCAGCCTGATACATACCCAGTTGGACCCCCAGAGATCAGTCGGTGTGGACAGTGCGAGACAGTTGTTACCCCGATCGTTCGACTGGTCGGTTGTCACACCAGAATTTGCCAGATCGGTACATGGGTCGTTAGCTAGATTTGATTATAGTTATCAGATAGTCTATTGCTATACAAATACGTTGATCTGAGCGGCGTATCGCCATGCCGATCGCAGTGCAGCCACAAATGCTGCCATGCCTACTGTGAGTAAGCGCGTGTGCCTCGTTTCTGATTCATTTGTACGAGTATGGTTTGTTTGGTCCGTCGTTCGGCATTGTGCTGGGTAGCTCGTCGCATATTTTCGTCGTTCGCTGTGTAGCTGTGCCGGTAGCTTGGCAAGTAGAGACGTCCGACTCGAGCCTCTCGGAAACCGAACGCTGCGCCTACCCAGCCACATCTCCTTTCCCATCTCCTCTTCCCCCGGAGGGAGGCTCGGTGTTTCTGCAACTGCCACGACAGGGCCTCAGGCTCGTGCGAAAGGCTTGCTTTCAGCGGCCGGCCTCGAGTAGGTTGATGGTTGCGGCCGGGGGCGGGACAGGGCAGCGTTGCCGGCGTGGTCGTCCGGGCGCTGGGGGCGCGGGGAGGGTGCCTGCGCCAGGGGGCGTCACGGCGTCGACGGCGGCCGACTCTGGGCGACGACGACGACGATGACGATGGCGACGAAGACCGCAGGAACGCGTTTGGGGTCGGGGTTTGGTGGGGCTGGGGTCGGAGGTTGATACACCTCCTACCCTGACACGTCGATTAGCGAAATGGCCATTTTCGGTTCGCGAGAGGGCGTCACGGCCGTCATTCTTGCAGGTCCAGGTCCGTCGGTTTCGGTCCTAGGCCCTTTTCATTCAAGGGAGGTTTACTAAAGGGAGGTTTTTCCACCGCCGATGGGGCCCCGGGCTGCGCAGAGGCCCTGGGGGGGGCCGGGGGTTTGCATGCGCAGGGCTGCGAGACCCTTAGAGCGGCCGGGATGGCATTGAGACGCCTGAGGCACAGTTGGGAGGGCTGAGGCGGGGGGGGAGGCTCTCGGGCAAGGACGGAAGCCCCTGAGGGCTCAGGGGGCCGGGGTGGAGCAGAAGCTTGGGGCTTGCGGGCAGGCGAAGCGGAGGGCGCAGGAGCAGAGGAAAGGCGTGGGCGCGGGGTGCGTTGGGCTTGAGGCAGGCGCCAGGGGGCAGGGACGCGGGGGGGGAGGGCGGCGAGGGGGGGGGGGCACATGACCGCAATTGCTGGGATCGGGGGACACTGGGGCTGGGGGACCCGGAGGCGGGGGGAGGGGGGGGAAAGGGTGGGGGAGTTCAATAGACAGGGGCAGCTGTGCTTCGACAACCCCCCTCCCCCCTTCTTGCTGGCGGCGCTGGCCGAAGAGGGACGGAGCGGAGCGCATTTCCCCTCCTCATCCTTCTCCTCCCTCGCGGTGTCTATCTCCGTCGCCTTCGTCCCTCCCACCTACAGAAGGTCATGAAAAGGTACCACCAATGAAGAAAGGCAGAGATTTCCACATCGGTCTCCAGGCTCTCCCCGGCGCGAGGATCTTCACCTTGGGCCGTCTCGTTTGCGATTTCGGGGCCCGTGGAGGGCGACGGGAAATCCCCGGGATTTCTTTGATTCGGTGATCTTCAGGACGTGTGTTTGCCTTGTGTGTGTTGTGTTTGTGTGTGTTGTGTGTGTTGTGTGTGGTTGTGCTTGTGTGTTGTGTTTGTGCTTGCGCTTATGCTTGTGCGCTTGTGCGTGTGTGCGTGCGTGCGTGCGTGCGTGCGTGCGTGTGTGTGTGTGTGTGTGTGTGTGTGTGTGTGCGTATGTGTGTATGTCTGTGTCTGTGTGTCTGTGTGTCTGTGTGTCTGTGCGTCTGTGTGTCTGTGTGTCCGCCCAGCACGCGCGCAGCCGGTGCCTGCCCTCACTGCGCCGCCTGCGTCGTCTCGAAGGGCTTCGGGTGCGCCAATATACACGCTGAGTGGATCGGCGGCCGAAGCCGGGGGGAAGCCGAGGAGGAGGAGCCAAGAACTCGGGCAGTTGGTTTTAGAATTGTTGGTTTTCTGCCTTCACCTCGCCTCGTCCTGGGGCGCCGCCCGGCGCAGTCGGCGGCGCCGAGGCGCGGGCGCAGGGGGGCCCGGACCACCAGAAGCCCGACCAACAGTAAAGCTTCCTGAAGGAACCAGGTGGCCACCTCCTCGGGGCCGCGGCGCTCTTCTTTCCGTCGGAGGGCGACAGGGGGAGCTCCCGGGACCCGCTTCTTCCAGGACCCGCTCCCCCGACGACGGGAGGAGGCGGATGAGAGGACAGGAGACCCCCCCCTGACGGGCCTGTCTTCCACCACCACCACCACCGTAAGCTGAAGGGGGGAAGGAGGCGGAGGACGAGGAGGAGGAAGACGAAGAGGAGGAGGAGGAGGAGAAGGAGGAGGAGGAGGAGGACCCCCTCTCCCTCCAACTGATAGTGGTGGTGGTGGAAAACAGGCCCATCTCCGCCTCTTTCCCCCCGAGGCAAGCACGGCAAACTCATGGGCGCGGACCAAGCCTGCCGCGATGCAGGCAACGCGCTCCTCAAGAGGATGTCTGGCGCCGAGCGGGCGCTGGAGACCTCGTCCCGGAGGGTGACGACCCGGAGGGGCGAGGCGACGGCGAGCAAGGATCCGCGGCGGGCTCCGAACCCACGTGGGGCGCCCCATCACGAGGAGCGAGGGGGAGGAAGGCGGGAAGGAGGCATGGAGAAGCAACGCCGACGACGACGACGACGACGACGACGACGAAGAAGGGGGAAGGGGGAAGGGGGAAGGGGGAAGGGGGAGAGAGAGAGAGGGGGGGGCGGTGAGGCCGCGCCCCAGACGAGGCAATCGCGCAGCGCGCGCGCGCGCGCCATGCGCTCCACCTGGCCCTGTGGCCGTGCTGCCACGGTGCCCGGGTCGTGGGCCGGGGGGTCCCCACAGGGGGTTTGTTGGCGTATCCTGGGGTGCATCGTCGGAGGCCTCGCGAGAGGCGAGGCGACGGCGAGGAAGGACGGCGGCGGGCTCCTTTTTCCGCAGGAGGCACTTGCACACCGCCACCATGGCACAGGTAGCACAAGGAGTCAGCAGTATCAATTTTCGGAGGTTTGCGCAGTCTCTGCAGTCGGCGCGGGTGCCCCCCACCAGCGGCGCCTCTGGCGCCCGAGGACGACCCCCGATGGTCACAAGACGGCCCAAGAGGCTCCGAAGACGGCCCAAGAAGAGGCGCCAAGAAGGCCCCAAGAGGAGCCATGCTTCCAATACCCCCGTGAAAGCCCCCCTAGAAGCCTCATGTGCCTCCAAGAGGCCCCGTCAACTGCCTAAAAGGAGCTTCCAAGAGGCCCCAAGAAGCCACCAAGAGGCCTCGAAACACACACACACACACACCAAGAGAGCCTGATATGTTTCCAACACGCCATCGACCCACAACCGGGGCACGGTGACGAGATGGTCCGAAGGAGAGCGACAGAGAGAGAGAGAGAGAGAGCTACAAGTAGGAGGACATGGATGAGGGCCAGAGCAGTTAATTATACCCATATGAACCAATGATGATGCAATGCGCCCTCCCAGGTTCCCTGACCATGAGTCCCTACAAGCTTTCCTTACCATTGCAGGGAACGCCCCCTTGAAGGACGAGCACCTTTTGGGCCCGTCGTGCGGGCGCGAGCACCGCATGGAAGCGGGGCTGCCTGGAGTCCTGGTGGCGAGAGTGCTGCAGGGTAGGACCGCGCGTGTGCAGCGAGAGCTCCCGCCTCGAGAGGGGACCGCCCCGCCCCCCCAGCAGCGCAAGCGGCATGGCAAGTTCTGGGCGTCAGTCTTCGGGCTCCTCCTCCTCCTCCCCCTCCTCCTCCTCCTCCCCCTCCTCCTCCTCCCCCTCCTCCTCCTCCTCCTCCCCCTCCTCCTCCTCCTCCTCCTCCTCCTCCTCCTCCCTTCCCTTTTCCCGTTCCGCAGTTGGTGGCGCGCTGTCGCGCGCGGGCGCGCCAAGCCCCGCCGGGCCGGGACGGGGGCGCCGACCGCCTCGAGGGCTTATGGGCCCCCCGTTCCCGGACCCTCCCTCGCCCAGCTCGCACTCCACCACTATCTGAATCCACCGCCCCCCCAGGACGCAGAAAAGCGAGGACGACGACGACGACGACGACGACGACGACGACGACGACACGACAACCAGCGACGCGGGGGCAGCAGCCGGGAGGGAGGCAGGAGGGGGCGCCGAGCAGGACCGCAGCAAACAAGAAACAGCCACAGCCGGCGGCAGCGCAGGAAGAGCAGGCAGCAGGGGGGGGGCAAGGGCGGGCAGGGGGGGGGCAGCCCGAAAGACCCCAGGGGCGGCGGGATATTCAGTTAGACCACTGACTCCTCCGCATACCCAAGTTTCCCATTTCCGCGCAGCCCCCCAGCGGGGGCAAGAAGCGGGCGGACGAGAGGGAGAGCCAAGCGACAACGACGACAAGAGCGCCAGAGCGACGACAACGACGCCGACGACGACGACGACGACAACGACGACGACGACGACGACGGCGGCGGCGGCGACGACGACGACGACGACGACGACGACGGCGGCGGCGGCGGCGGCCGCAGCGGCGGCGGCGGCAAGAACGACCCGGCCAGCAGATCCGCACCCGACCGGCCAGGCAGCAGACACCCCAGCACCGAGGCAAATGAGCAGCAGCACGCGCAGGAGAGGAGAGCAGCGCAGCAGCGGCACGGCACCACAGCGCCACGGGAAAGCAGCACAGCAGCAGCACAGCACCGAAGCACCAGCGGGCCGCGGCGGGGAGCAGGAGGGAGCAGCGCGGCAGCAGCACAGCAAGAGGGCAGAAGGGAGGCAAGCAGGCAAGCGGCAGCAGGCACAGCAAGAGCAGCAACCCCGCAAGACCCCCGGGGCGGCGGAGACAGAGAATCTAAAACATAATGGTGTTGCTGTTGCCAGAGCCTCACAAGCCTGACCGACAAATACAAACCTCGGCAGCATTTCTTCCAATGTCGGTGCCCCCAGCAGCACCCGCCGTGTAGATGCCACCGCGGTCCCTCCATATAGCTCCCGGCGCCAGGCGGCCGTGCCCGGGCAGGAGGCCACCAGGTGGTCCAGCGTAGCCTCGTGACCCCCGCACAGGGGGCAGGGAACGAGGGCAGGAGGCCTCCGCGACCCCACGCCACCAGCGGAATAGAGCCCGTCACACGCGCAATTATCCAGGCCCTAAAATACTTCCAGACACGCCGGCTCAATGGGGCCCACTGCAAACGTCCGCGTGGTCGTTGCCCTATCGACGCTCACGTGTTCTGTTTTTTTGTGGGGCGAATCTCAGTCGGGGGCCCCATCTCGAAAACGAGCCAGCTCCCCATCGCGTAAGCGTTGCATGGTTACGCATGTAACATTTTACTTCACACGGAGATCGTCGTCGAAGGCCCCATGTTGAAAAGGCATTGGGCCTCTCTTGGAGCTCTCTTGGCACACCGTGGGGCCATATTGAGGCCTCTGAAGGCCGCTTAAAACGAAAATTCGAGAAAACCAGATTTCACTGACTCCCCACCAGTTTTGGGAAGTTGGGAGGCTCTATGGCCACTCGGCGCCGTCTTGTGACGCTCATGGCGCCTCTTAGCGGAATGTTGTGAGCTTGAGTGTGCGATCTTGGAGATTTGTGGGGGCCATCTGGGGCCATCTTGCACGCTCTCACGGCCCGCGACCAGGCCCGTCCAGACCCAGAGAGGGGGGGAGGTGAACCCCTCCCCGAAGGGAAGGAGTAGCTTGGAACAACTAACTCCTTACATCACCTACGCCCAACTGACCGGTGGGATTCTCAAGGCCAGTGTCCGCGGCGCTAGGGCGAGAGCTCAATTACGACCACGCCCCGCTCTCTATTCTTGCATCTGGTTCGTATCATTTAGACGAGTGTATGTGTTTATGTGTGTGTGTGTCTGTGTGTCTCTGTGTGTCTCTGTGTGCCTCTGTGTGTCTGTGTGTCTCTGGGTGTCATTGTGTGCGTTTGTGTGCCTCTGGGTGTTTCTGTGTGTCGCTGTGTGCCTCTGTGTGGCTGCGAGTGTGTCTGAGTGCGTGCCTCTGTTTGTCTCAGCGTGTCTCTGTGTAGCTCTGTGTCGCTGTGTGTGCCTCTGTGTGTCCGTGTGTGTCATGTGTGTGTGTGTTTGTGTGTCGGTGTGTGTGTGTGTGTGTGTGTCCGTGTGTCTCTGTGTCTCTGTTTGTCTGTGTGTCTGTGGGTCGGTGTGTCGATGTGCCTGTGAGTCTATGTGTGCGTCTGTGTGTACGTGTGTCTCTGTATGTCTGTGCGTCTGTGTGCCTATGTGTCCGTGTGCCTGTGTGTCTACGTGTATTCGTGCTTGTGTTTCTGTGTGTCTGCGTGTTTGCGTGTCGATGTGTCTGTTTGTCTGTGTCTGTGTGTTTGTGTGTGGCGCTACGGCGAGAACTCCATCTTCAACGACCGACCCTCCACCATTGTAGCTGTTGGAGATTGCAAACCTCATCGGGATGAATCGCGAGGAAACCTGAGACAAAACGCCTACCCCGCCCTACCGACGAGTCTGGTGCTCAGACGAGAGAGACCTGCCTGTGAGGAAAATGTAATGGGCGAGGAGGAGAACGGTGTGAGGAGAAGCACGGAACACCAGGAGGGGGGGAGGAGGGAGGAGGAGGGACGAGGAGGGAGGGAGGGAGTAGCAGGGGGGGAGGAGGGACGAGGGAGGGAGGGACGAGGGGGGGAGGAACGAGGGAGGCAGGGAGGAGGGATGCGGGAGGGCGGAGGAGGGAGGGAGGGAGGACTAGGAGTGGAGATGGAAGGAGGAGGAGCGAGGAGCCAGGGTATGGTTCTCGACCCACCAGGTCTCCCAGACCTTGCCAAGACGGCCCAAGAAACTAACGCTTTTCATACGTACTCGCCCTCCGCTGAAGGAGGAGTTGGAGGAGGAGGAGGAGGAGGAGGAGAAGGATGAGGAGGAGGAGAAGGAGGTGAGGAGGACGAGAAGGAGGAGGAGGAGGAGGAGGAGAAGGAGGAGGAGGAGGAAGAAGGGGGTGCAGGAGGAGGAGGAGGAGGAGTAGGAGAAGGAATGGAGAAGGAGGAGGGGGAGGAGAAGTAGGAGGAGGACGAGCAGGAGGAGGAGGAGGAGGAATGGAGATTGAGGAGGAAGAGGAGGAGGAGGAGGACGAGGAGGAGGAGGAGGAGGAGGAGGAGGAGAAGGGGGAGGAGTAGGAAGAGGAGGTGGAGGGCGAAGATGTGGAGGAGTGGAGTTGGGGATTCGGTGAGGCGGGCGGAGAGGGAGGAAGGGTATGAGGGGAGGGATAGGAGGATAGAGGAAGAGGACGAGAAGGAGTTGGAAAGGAGGGGCGGAGGAATCACAGCCAGTCATTGCGCAACGATGCGGAGGAGGGGCGGAAGATGTAAGGAAAGGATGTTTGGGTGACTTGAGGATTGAGGGCGCGGGATGGAGGGGAAGGAGGAGGGACGTCGTCGTGGTAGTCGTCGTCGTCGCCGCTGGCGTTGATGTCAAAATCTGGTCAAGATCTGCCCCAAGGTCCCTCCCCTGGTCCATCCTGTGAAACTTGTCCTCCCAGATCGAGACTTCTGGCGGTGCCGAAGCCCGAAACGGGCCCCCAGAGGTCGAAGCTGAGGAAGAGCTGTCGTCGGCGCTGGTGTCGTCGTCGACGTCCTCGGTGCTGGCGTCGCCGTCCAGGGGGCCGTCGTCGTCAAGGATCGTAGTCGTCGACGTCGTCCTCGTCGATATCCTCGTCGTCGATGTCCTGGTCGCCCTCTGCCGAGCGAGGACCGGGCGGCGCGCAAGGTCGCGGCCGAGAAGGCGGGCCAGAAGCAGGATCTGGGGGGGGGGGGGCGCCCGCTCGAGGCGATCGAAGTGGGCACGGGAGGAATGGGCACCAAGACCGGCTGCGTTGCTGGCTCGCTCTGAACATCGGGGGCGGCCAAGAAGAGGGGGGTGGCGACTGCAAGGGGGGGGGGGGGGGGGAAACATCATGGCAGGGACGTCTGATTCAGGAGGGAAAGAAACACACAGACACGATTGATCGTCGACTTCCTAGAAGATGTTGGAAAATATGGGAAGTGGGGGGAAGACAGAAGCCCAGAAAATAGGGGAGAATATGGGGAGTCCTGCTGGCTGTGTCTATCTATTTGTGTGTCCCAGGGCCCCTTCAGACAAGTGTGCTGTGCATCGTGCCGATGCTCTCCGTGCCCTCTGTCGGGCGTCCGAGGCGGCGACGGCGGCGGCGGCGCACTTGCGGAGGAATATTCAAAAATAGTTGTTGTTAAAAAATGTCTGGGGACGATGTTTAGACCATTGTTTGGCATTTTGGATGGTATGTTTTAAAAGTATTGGTTTTTCAAATTTTCGCCCAAAATTCGCCTGTGGGGGAAAGGGCTGATTTAAGTTTATTTGTCGGTCCTTCTTAAATCGCGCCTGCAGGAGGGCATGCCCGACCTGAGGCTCGGAAGGGAGAGCCCGCCCCACGGGGAGGGCTCGAGGCCTCGAGGAGGTGTTGGCGTCGGGCACGTGTCGGACGGGGCCAGGACGAGGATAAGTGAGCGTTCCAGAGCGTTCCCCAGGCGCCCTCGCGATGCAAATCAATCACAATGGGAGGTTTTTCGTCTTTTTGGCCTCAAGGCTCAAGGGGCCCCTAACAGGCTTCCGGACCGTTCAAAAACGACTCGGGATGGAAATATGGTCCCAGGGAAGGGGTCCAGACCTCTGGGGGTCGACGTTTTCAAAAAATCACGACGTTGGGGGTCCGGGTCTGCAGAAACGGCCACGACCTCGGAGGCTTGCGGGGCAAAAGGGCGTGGGGGGACGGTGCTCGGACGAGGAGAAATCCGTTCCACAGTGTTCCTGAACGCTCTCAGAGTGTTGTGGAACGCTCCGAGAAGGCCGCGGCGCCCACGACATTCTCCGGGGCCGCCGGATCTCAGAGGTGTTCGACGCATCCTCACCCGATGTTATTATCGCCATGGCTTCGTCTTGGCCAAGGATGGGCCTGGCCAGCCTCGGTGCGTGCGCACAGCTTCTAGGAATAATGGACAGCATGCACGTACGCGCAGGGGCCCCCCTGGCGGCGCCTCTGGCGCTGCCGTGGGAGGGGGGGCTTCTAGCGCAGGTCCCAGAACTCCGCGCGGGGCTTCGACAGCGTATGCTCATGCAGCTGTTGCTCAGGAGGGGAAAAAACACACAGACACAATTAATCGTCGATTCCCAGAAAATATGGGAAAATATGGGAAGTGGGGGGGAAGACAAAAACCCAGAAAATATAGGAAAATATGGGGAATCTTTTTATTTGTGTGTATTTATTTGTGTGTCCCAGTTTCCCTTCAGTTGCGCCCTCTACAGTGCGGTCACGTTGAAAACCGCGGCCGGCTGCTCCGACATGCGCGCAACGTCTGCCCCGAGTAGCGCGTGAGCGCCCTGCGTAGGCCGCCGCGGTCACGTTGAAAACCGCGGTCGGCTGCTCCGACATGCGCGCAACGTCTGCCCCGAGCAGCGCGCGAGCGCCCTGCGTGGGCCACCGCGCAGGGCCGCCGCGTCGTCCGTGCGTGAGGCCGCCTTCGCTCCGTCACTTGGCCGGCACCCCTCTGAATGACAGGAGGGGCTCTTCCAGAAGTACGACCGCGACGGCGACGGGCTTCTGAGCCCCGACGAGGTCGGACAGTTCATCCGCGGGGAGTGCAACTTCGACATGGAGAAGGCGCCTCCCTCATTCCCTCCTCCCACCTCTGCTCCCCACTGACCTCCTCCACACACACGCACACATCCTCGCAAGAGCCAGGTTCCAGGTCTGTGGCATGATCGACGTGGCCGGCTATCGCCGTCTGGTGTCGGTGAGAGCTCCGAGACACCCTTCGCATGTGGAAGAGCCGCCGACGGCGGGACGTGTCCGCTACGGGCAGAATCGGCAAACTCGGATACGGCCTCGGGCCGAGGAGCCACCGAGCGTGCACCGCACCAGCTTCGTACAATGCTCGCCGAGGATTCGGTGGTAATGGTCGAGAATGGATGCCAGGAAGAGGGGGGTAGGGCGAAGGGGGAGAGGGGGGAAGGCGGGGAGGGGGGGAGGCAGCGCCGACAAGACAGGGGACAGGAGAGGGAAGGGGAAGGAGAGGGGGAAGGGGAGGGGAAAGGGAAGACAGGAGAGCAGCAGAGACAGCAAGAAAAACGCACAGCAGAGCGAAGGGGAACAAGAAGGACAGCAAGACGACAACAATGACATGCAATGAGAGCTCTTTATATGGATGGCGGCCCGGCCGCCGGAACAGGTATGGAAGGCATCATTGCTTGCCGATGTAGGCATCGATTATTCGCTCCATGACATCAGTCCTACTGTCGCTCTCACTCAGATTTAAGCGACGTGCCTGGAGCCTGAGATCGTCAGACGTGAGAGAGTTCATGCATCCTCGAATGTGGGCCCTCTTCATGTTCACCTGTCGTCTCTCCTCTCCGAGAACCCGTTCTCCTCGAGCCACACCTGAATGCGCCTCTTCAGAGCCCCAGGAAGAGCCTGCCCGACTAGCTTGTCGCACTCTGTATGGCTGAGAATCCAATCCGTCAGGCCGCCCTCGTAGAGGAGATTGCTGTCCGAACCGGGCTTCACGTTCATCTCGAGATGGATGTGCTTGCGATCGTGGACCTTCTTGAGCCTCGCAAACTGGACTTCCTCTGCGACCGGAGCCTCTGCGACTGGCCTCCACCGCCTCCTTCTCCTCATGCTCTTGCTCCTCCTCCATTCCTCTTTCTTCCTTATGAATGACTTCTCCCTGTCGCACCCCGAGGCAATTTTTTGGGGCGGGCCAGGCGGTTCGCCTGAGCCTTCCGCACCATTTATGATTCTGAAGGTAAAAAACGGCAACTGACAGTTTCACGGATGGAGGGCTGGTGGTTTTCAAAATGTGGTTCTCGCCTTCGTGCCGCGCACATTCGTTTTCAAAATTCGCAAGATCTTCACGGATTGAGGGCGGGTGGTTTTCAAAATGTGATTCTCGCCTTCGCGCCGCGTACACTCGTTTCAAAAATTCGCAAGCATTTCACGGATTGAGGGCGGGTGGTTTTCAACATGTGGTTTGTTCGCCTTCGCGCCGCGCACATTCGTTTTCAAAATTCGCAAGATCTTCACGGATTGAGGGCGGGTGGTTTTCAAAATGTGGTTCTCGCCTTCGCGCCGCGTACATTCGTTTCAAACATTCGCAAGTGTTTCACGTAGTGAGGGCGGGTGGTTTTCAAAATGTGGTTCTCGCCTTCGCGCCACGCACATTGTTTTTAATGTGGCAAGCATTTCACGGATTGAGGGCGGCTTCTGTTCAAAATGTGGTTCTCGCCTCAGCGCCGCGCACATCGTTTTCCATGAGCAACGTACCAGAAATTGCGTGCTGGAAGGACTCAGGATTTTGCGTGTGCAGAAGTTATGTTGATTCGCTCCCGAGAACAATGTTTTGGCATGCTTCGAGTCTTCAAACCGTTGCCTTCCAACGAAGCGGTTCCTTCAACGGAAATGAACCGTTGTAGGGGCCTATGAAGAGGGAGCTTGGAGGGAGGGTTCATTCCAACATCGTTGATGACTCTTGGGCTTGCACTGGTCTTCCTCCTCCTCCTCCTCCTCCTCCTCCTTCTCCTCCTCCCACGAGGGGGTGGTTCAGAGAAAAGACGGAGGAGGAGGAGGAGGAGGAGGAGGAGAAGGATCAGGACGAGGAGGAGGAGGAGGAGGAGGAGGACCTCACGTCTCCTTCCCAGGGAGAGATCCGGGTTCGCCCAGCCCCTCATCGCCCCCGAGAGCCAGCCCGAAGACCCCCTGGAGATCGACGGAGGACCTCCCGCCTCCCTCCTGGGGGGACGGCCTCTTGCGGCCTCTCGGGGGCCTCTTTGGCCGTCTTGGGGCCCTCTTGCGCCGTCCGGCCCCCTCGGAGGCCGTCTGGGGGGCCTCGCCAGGCCGCCCTGGGGCCCTCTTGGAGTTTCCGCTCCTCCTCCTCCTCCTCCTCCTTCCTCTCCTCCTCCTCCTCCTCCTCTCTCCTCCTCCTCTCCTCCTCCTCCTCCTGCTCCTCCTCTCCTCCTCTCCTCCTCCTCCTCCTCCTCCTCCTCCTCCTCCTCCTTCTCCTCCTCCTCCTCCTCCTCCTCCTCCTCCTCCTCCCCCGCCTCCCCCGCCTCCTCCACCTCCTCCTCCTCCTCCCCTCCTCCGCCTCTCCTCCCTCCTCCTCCTCCTCCTCCTCCTCCGCCTCCTCCTCCTCCTCCTCCTCCTCCTCCTCCTTCTCCTCCTCCGCTCCTCCTCCTCCTCCTCCTCCTCTCTCCTTCCTCCTCCTCCTCCTCCTCCTCCTCCTCCTCCTCCTCCTCCTCCTCCTCCTCCTCCTCCTCCTCCTCCTCCTCCTCTCCTCCTCCTCCTCCTCCTCCTCCTCCTCCTCCTCCCCCTCCCTCTCCCTCTCCCTCCCTCCTCCCTGGGGCCGTCGGGGGGGCCTCTTGTGGACAGTCTGGGCGGCCTGTTCTGGGCAGCCTCGGGGGGCCCTCGCCTGGGCCGCCTCGAGGGCCTCTCGGGGAGGCCTCGGGGGCCGCAGCCGCCCCCGCACTGCCCCTGGGAGGCCGGAGCCCGTGCGTCAGCGCCCCGAGGGGCCAGCCCGCGGGGCTGCCCTCCTCACACCAGCGCCAGAGCCCTCATCCTCAGTCTTCCTCGTCCTCAGGGAGGAGGACGAGGACGAGGACGAGGACGAGGACGAGGACGAGGACGAGGACGAGGACGAGGACGAGCAGAAGGAGGCATTGGAGGAGGGAGGGGGGAGGCAGGGAGGGATGGGGAAGCACGGCGAGCGAGGGGTCCGAGAAGATGGGGTGGGATCGGGTATGGCCAGGACCCCAGGTAAGGGGACCCGGTTAGTGGTAGGGCCCTGGAGCCCCTGAATTGGCCAGGATCACTGAACCAGGTTTGCCGTAGCTGGTGTTTTCTCGGGTGACGGCAGTTCCGGCTAGTGGAAGGGGCGGGGGGGCGTCCCCCAGTACACATCACTAAACCAGGTCCCACTAAACCCGGTTCTGCCAACGCCCGATCGGAGGATCGCGCCGCATCGCCGATACATCGGCGATGCAGCTCGATGTGGAACCCGTGCTTCCCCACGCTGACGTCGCCGATGCATCGTCGACGTCGCCGATACATCGCCGATGCATCGGCGATGCATTGGTGATGCGGCGCGATCCTTCGACCGCATCTATTCGGACCCCATCTGGGAGGTCACTAAGATCGAGCTTCACCGAACGCGTTCCACTGCTCGCAAAGTGCCTACTCGCAAATGTCCGAAAAAAACATGTCCTCCTCTACGTAATGTGTCGTAGATCCCCCGCGGCGGATCCAGGACATTTGCGAGCAGTTCCGTTTCGAGTAGTTCGGGGGTGGACAGAACCCCCAACAGTGACACGTCGATTAGTGAATTATCCGTTTTCGGTTCTCGAGAGGGCGCCGTGGCCGTTATTTTACAGGCTTGCGCCCGCCAGGTTTGGGCCTCAGGTCGTTTTCACTAAACCACGTTTTGCTAAAGGGGGGTCTGTCCATCCCCGAGTAGTGGAACGCGTTTGCCCAGAGCTGTAAGAGACGGTGGTCAATGTAAACGGGGGGTTCAGCCAGGGCGCCGGCTATTGCAGGATCCTGGAGAGCCAGCGTGGCACGAGCTTGGGCCAGCGCGCGGGATCCCGCGGGAGTTTGCAGGATTCCACGAAGCCTGACCGATCCGGGTTCGCATCGACCTGGGTCAGCAGATCCCCGGCCAGAGGTGCAGCGCGGGCGGTGCTCAGCACGCAGGAGCGACCTCTCTCCGGAGTGGCTTCCGGTGCGCGAACGTTCGGGCGGCGCCGGGCGGGAGAGGCCCACGCATCAGGGCTCGACCTGGATCGAGTAGGGGATGGACTCCAGACTTGATTCACCCCCAAATTGGGTTTTCCGTCGAATCTACGGAAAAGTAGGTCGAATGTTCCGTAGATCTATCGAGCATTATATGTAATGCCTCTGGATTCGACGGAAAAATCAGTTTTGGAGCAGGTGAACTCTTCAGTCGACCTGGAGGTGGAGCGAATACAAAGCGAGGGAATGCGAAACCAGCGCGAGAACGAGAATCATAGTTCAGGCCAAGCCCCTCCAGGCACGCGGGCCTCTGATAGCACCCCGCGCGCGGCGACATCGGCAAAAGCCGCGCACTCTGCCCGGGGTTGGCCCTTCGGCGCGTCGCCGAGAGGGGGAGGGGAGGCCGAGGCTCAGGCCGTCGTGGGCGCGCGGCGCTCGGGAGGCTCCGCTCCCTCGGGAGCTTCCTGCGGGAGCTGCCCTCGGGGGGCCTGCCTCGGGAGCCTCCCTCGGCAGCTTTGCCTCGGGAGCCTCCCTCGCGAACGTCCCCCCCGGGAGGCCGAGAACGGCCGACCCTGCCGTCGTGCTTCTCTCGCGGCGCGATCCCATCCGCCCTTGCGGGCTGCCCGCTTCGACTCGGGCCTCCGGGAGCGGACCAGAGGCCAGGCCTCGCGCTGCAAGGAGCCGGGGGGCCCAAGCGGGTGCGGTGACCACACCGCGTGGTGAGTCGGTGGGGGTGCAGTGCCACCGCGCTGTGTTGGGACTCGGGCCGTGTTGGGAGCGGCTAGAGCCTCCCAGATCCCAAGACCGTGCGGTGACAAGCTGCGTGGTGAGGTCCACTGGGATTCCGAGGTTACCGCGCGGTCCGTCACCACACGGTTTTGGGACCCCCAGAAGAGGAGGAGGAGGAGGAGGAGGAGGAGGAGGAGGAGGAGGAGGAGGAGGAGGAGGAGAGGAGGATGAGGAGGAGAAGGATGAGAGGAGGAGCAGGAGGACCAGGAGGAGCAGGAGAGGGAGGAGGAGGAGGAGGAGGAGGAGGAGGAGGAGGAGAGGGAGGAGGAGGAGAAGCAGGAGGAGCAGGAGGAGGAGGAGGAGGAGGAGGAGGAGGAGGAGGAGGGGAGGAGCAGGAGGACCAGGAGGAGCAGGAGAGACGGCGCGTCGCTGGCCCCTCCTTCCGGAGGGGGTCGTGGAGAAGATCCTCGGGTCCCCGCCCTTTGCTGGCACAAAGGGCGTCACCAGGGACAAGTTCTCGCGCCTCCGGCTGCAGGCGGGGGGGGCATCGCCAGTTGCGCAGGGAAGGGGAGGGGCGGAAGGGATCCCAGAGGCCCAGACCTCCTCGCGGCGTGCATAAAGGATCTGCGTTCTGCAGTGCTCGGCTTTGGGGGCCCTTGCCAGGCCCCAGGGCCGTCAACGGGACGGTTCGGGATGCGAATCTTGCTCCGGAGCTCTGTTCGAGGCCTCGGGGTGTCCACCCCCGTTTTGGCAGAATCGCGACGTGAGGAGCCTGGGTGTGGAGATGATTTTAGGCACTGCTTCGGTCTCGTGGAGGGCCTTCGTCGCCACTGCATGCCTCGAGCGCCTGGTTGGAACGCGCTGCAAGGCGGGTCCAGGGGTCGGCTTCGAGGGAGGAGGACGAGGACGAAGACGAGGAAGGAGAGATGACGAAGGGGGCTGGATCAGGAGGAGGAGGAGGACCAGTGTAAGCTCAAGACCCATCAACGCTATTGCGATACGCCCTTGCTCGAAGTTCCCTCTTCACAGGCCCCTACAAGGTTTCGCTGTCATTGGGGGAAGTCGCTGGAATACACCCGTGTGAAAATCCGGAACTGTCGGGGCTGGACAGAACCCCCAACAGTGACACGTCGATTAGTGAATTGTCCGTTTTCGGTTCTCGAGAGGGCTCCGTGGCCGTCATTTTCCAGGCTTGCGCCTGCCAGGTTTGGGCCTCAGGTCGTTTTCACTAAACCACGTTTTGCTAAAGGGGGGTCTGTCCATCCCCGAAACTGGTGCCAGTGCACCATTCCTGGCACTCCAGCGCCGCGAGAATCACCGTTGTTGTTGCGTCTGGCCGATCCGGACTTGCGGCAGAGCTCCGTTCCTGGGATGTCAACACCGCGAACCAACGTGATTGTTGCACCAGATTTCGTAATAAAAGGGAGGGGGTCACAATCCTCCCAGACCACAAGTTTTAGACCCCCCCAGACCATGCATGAAAGGGCGGCACTTTGCCCAGACCCCCCCCTAACCCTTCAAGACAGCTCAAATCAGACCCCCCCGTCAAATTTACCCCCCCCTACTTTATTATGGAATCCAGAGTACATCGTGGCATTCCGTCATCGTGCCGATGCAGCATTATTGGTTCGTTAACCATGAGAAGTGTGTGAAACTCTGCACTCTCTCAAGAGGAATGTGCGCGGCGCTGAGGCGAGAGTCACATGTTGAGAAGGAACCGCCCTCCATCCGGGAAAGTTTTGCAAGCTTTCAACACTGTATGCGGCGCTAGGGCGAGAGCCACATTTTCAAAACGGTTCGCCCTCCATCCGTGAAATGCTTGCATCTATTTTAACTGAATGTGCGCGGCGCTGAGGCGAGAGCCACATGTTATAAAGGAACCGCTCTCCATCCGTGAAGCCCCTTCGAATGTTTAAAGTTGAACATAGCACGCGATGCTCAGGCGAGAGCCACATTACAAAAACGGTCTACCCTACATCCGTCAAGCTCTGGCAGATTTGTAAGACGAATCTGCGCGGCGCTAAGGCGAGAGCCGCATTTCGAAAACAACCCGCCCTCCATCCGTGAAACTCTTGCATATACCAAAACGGATGTGCGTGGCGCTGAGGCGAGAGCCTCATTTTGAAAGCCACCCGCCCTCCATCCGTAAAACTGCTTCAGTATTACGCTTCAGGATCGTCAATGATGAGAAAGTCTCAGGCGAAAAGTCCGGCCCGCCCTTTCGACCGGCCTCCGGGTGCGACAGGGATGAGTTCTTTACAAGGAAGAGGGATGGTGGAGAAGGAGAGGGATGACAGGGATAGGGAGGAGGAGCAGGAGGAGAAGGAGGAGGACGAGCAGAAGAAGAGGCGAAGAAGAGGCGGGGGAGAGGATGAGGAGAGGAGGAGAACGAGGAGAAGGTAGGGAGGAGGAGAAGGAAGGGACGAGGAGAATGAAAGGAGGAGGATGGAGGAGGAGGAGGGGGCGGAGAGGGAGAGCGGGAGGGAGGGAGGAGGAGGAGGAGGAGGAGCAGGAGGAGGAGGATCAGAGGCGGAGAGGGAGGAGAGGGAGAAACGGAGGGTAGGTAGACGAGGGAGGAGAGGGAGAAGGAGGAGGTGAAGGAGAAGGAGGACGAAGATTTGGAGGATGAGGAGGACAGGGAGAGGGGAAGGGACGAAGAGAGGTCGAGACGAAGAGGAGGAGGACGACGACGAACAGGAGGAGGACGAACAGGAGGAGGACAGACGAGAAAGATAGAACGGAGTAATGAGGCGAAGGATTAGGAGGAGGAGAGGGAGAATCACGAGGTTGTAGGAGGAACAGAGAGACAAGGGATTCGTGGAGGAGCAGGAGGAGGGAGGAGTACAGGGAACGCCGAGGAAGCGAGGCGGGAGGAGCTGCAGGTGGGGATTGCTGCTGTGGAGCAGACGCTGGGCAGCATCGAGCTCGAGGTCGCGCCATTTGGGCGCTTCGGCGGCGAAATCGATAGACCATGCCACGCCCAGCAAACAACAAAACACGGGGCCGACTGCGCGGGGCAGCCGTGCTCGAAGCCCTCCCTGGCCTTCGGCCCCGGGGTATCGCTCTGGGACCCGGCGCCGTCGGGAATCCGCCCGGACCTTCTCAATAGTTCTCTTGTCGGGTCAGGGTTTTTCGGGCCCCACGAAAGGGGGGGGATTGGGAAAGGGGGGGGGTACGAAATCTGCTGCATGCAGCTGGTTTCGGCCCCGCTGCCAGGCCCATTTCTCGATACATAGCCGCCTCCGGCGCCGGGAGGCGCCGGGAAAATCAGCTACGTGAGCTGATTCTCAAACCCCCCCTTTGCTATCCCCCCCTTTCGCCCGACCCGACTTTTGGGAGGGGTCCAGGGGTCCAGGGTCAGGGTTTCCAGGAGGGCTCCAGGGGTCCAGGGACCTCTGGAGAGGAGGCCGAAGCGGAGGAGCGAGGGCCTTGATCGCTGTTCGCCCTCTGGGGCCGGCCCAGCAGGGGTCCTCGTCGCCACGACTCGATGCGCCTCGACGTCTGAGCCGGCACGCCCCGGGTGAGGCCGGGGAGGCGACAGCGAGGAGGACCACCACCGCCGCCTCGAGGGGCGGGCAGGCAGGTGCCCTCCGGCAGCTGCGCCTGGCCGAGGGCCTTTCGGGCACTTGCAGCGGCCTCGGACGGCTTCCTCCGGCCCCGTCCGCGAAGGGCGAGAGTAGGGGAACAAAAAGTGGCATAAAAATCAGAGGTCCGCGCGGATTTCTCGGATCGACGCTGGACCCCCTTCCCTGGCGCGCGGAGCGCGCCAGGGGCGGCGCCGGAGGCGCCGCCGGGGGGCCCAGCGCCGATCCGAGAAATCCACGCGGACCTCCGAGTTGTTATGTTTATGACACTTTTTGTTCCCCTACTCTCGCCCTTCGCGGTCGGGGCCGGAGGAAGCCGTCCGAGGCCGCTGCAGGTGCCCGAAAGGCCCTCGGCCCGAGAGGCCAGAGAGCTCTGGTGTCCACCGGCACAGGTGCACGAGAGGCCCGATGCGGGGCAGACGGGTGCAGGACGGCCGGCTGCTCCCACGTCGGGTTTCTGGAGAGACGCGGGCCCTCGGACCAGCAAGATTCAGGAGGGGAAAAAACACACAGACACAATTCATCTTCGATTCCCAAGAAAATATGGGGAAATATGGGAAGTGGGGGGGGAAGACAAACACCCAGAAAATATGGGAAAATATGGGGAATCTGTTTATTTGTGTGTATTTATTTGTGTGTCCCAGGGCCCCTTCAAAGATGCCATCCCACGGAGCGAAGTTCATGCAAGTGCTGGGCGTCGAGAGCTCGAGGGCCTCGCGCACTGGAACAGCTCAGACCTTGGAGGCCCGTGCCTTGTGCCCCGCTTGTGTCCCCATCCCCCTTCTCCCTCCCAGTTCCGTGGGGGACAGGCAGGGTTCCCACCGTCGTCCTCGCTGTGCCTTTCGGAAGGTCTGCACGGCTTGGGGCCACCAGTGGGCGCCTACTGGCCCCGAATCGCAGTGGACCAGGGCCCGAAGGGACGCGCCAGGGGCCCGCGGCACACTGGACGTGGCAGAGTGCGCCGGCGGAAGTGCTCGGTGCACCTGAGTTCGACTACCCGTGAGAGTGACCTTTCGCCGGAGTGACCTTTGGTGCGGGCCCAATGGGGTCCCCCGATCGCCGAACGCGATGCGGTAGTAGCGTCTTGCGCGCTCGTGTTTGGCCCCCTCGCGCCCTCCAAAAAGCCGCGCACCAAAGGTCACTCTTACCCAGGGTCACTCTTGCGTGCAGCCGATGGGTGCATGCATCGGGGGGGTCGAACTGGGGACGGAAGCAATGGGCACAGAGTTCAGCAGCCGTTCCTCAGAGCCCCGAATCATCAGGGGTAACTCGGGTCAGGGCTAACTCGGGTTCGTTCTTCGGGAATCCAAACCCGCGTTACCCCTGACCCGAGTTACCCTGGATAATTCGGGTGCTCAAGCAATGGGTACAAAGTCCAGCAGCCGTTCCTGTTCCCTCTGAGCCCGGTTCGCTGTCGGCGCCGTTGCGGTCACTGTCGATTCTCAGGTTTACGCCACACCGCCGACCCCTTGGGAAACTCGCGGTTGCCGTGTTCTGCTTGTGAGGCCTTCTAGGGCGCCTTCTCGGGTCATTTTGGTTGGCTCCTGGTGTTTTTCGGCGCCGCTGCGGTCATTGTCGGTTCGAGGCGCAAGCGCGCAGGCCCTGCAGCGGCCGCTGTCGGCTTCGGGCAGCACCTGCTGCGGAGGATCGCGCCCAGTTGTTCCTTAACCCCTTTCGGGCGTCGGGCGTCCAAAAGATTTGCGCGTGTGCGCGTGCAGTCAAAAGTGGCGTACGGGATGATCCAGGAGGGAAAAACACACACACACACACACTGACACAGTTGATCGTCGATCCCCAGGAATAGACGGGAAAATATGGGAAGTGGGAGGGAAGACAAAAACCCAGGAAATTTATGAAAATGTGGTGGATCTGGTTATATGTGTGTATTTGTTTGTGTGTCCCGGGGCCCCTTCAAATGATCCTCCGGAGCAAGGGTGCCCTCGCATCCTCAGGCTCCTGTGCACCGCTGCCGCTCTTGGGGGGCATCCTCGGTCCAAGAATGCCCTGGCAGTTTGACGCGTTCGAAGCACGCTGCACCACTACATGCCATCCCGATTGTTGGCTTTGATCGGCCTCCTCCTCCTCCTCCTCCTCCTCCTCTTTCCTGGTCCTCCTCCTCTTTCCTGATCCTCCTCCTCTTTCCTGCTCCTCCTCCTCTTCTTTCCTACATTCAGGAGGGAAAAACACACAGACACAATGAATCGTCGACTCCCAGAAACTATGGGAAATATGGGAAGTGGGGGGAAGACAACAACCCAGAAGATATGAGAAAATATGGGACATGCGGTTATTTGTGTGTATTTATTTGTGTGTCCCAGGGCCCCTTTACACATGCCATCCCGATTGTTGGCTTTCATCGGAGAGCAATGGCAAAAGCACGAACTTTCGGAGGTCCACGCGGATGGCTTGGATCGGCGCTTGACCTTTCCTGGCGGCGTCTCCAGCGCCGCCACTGGCGCGCTTCGTGCGCCAGGGAGGGGGGATCCACCGCCGACTCCAAGAAAGCCGCGTGGACCGCAGAAAGTTTGTGTCAATACAGCTGCTTGCTGGTGTCCAGTGTCAGCGCGTGGCGCGCGCAGAGAAAGCTTCGGATCGACTCCTGGAGCCAACCTCGTGGTCTAACAACCCAGGGGGGAGCCGGTGGGCCTCGGAAGGAGATGTTGGCGAGCCGGGCTCGGAGGTCTTGGACGGGCTCGCCGCTGCGTGGGTGGCAGGAGTTTTTCGCGAGCATTCACCGAAAGCTCTTGCAGGTTCGAGGGTACCCCTCGAGTCCTGCCTGCGTATCGCGTTTCACGTCATCCTCACGTCTGGAGCCAGGGCCTCGGCATCGCTCGGACGTGTGCATTCTGTCCCCACGGGGATCATTAAGAAGCATCTTGGGCCATCAGGCAAGAAAAAGCACGAGCGCAGCCGCAACATGCACGGGGACTGGACGTCCGAGCGAAGGCAGGGGCTTGCCCTCGGAGGAGACTTCTGCCCTCCTCGGGTACCTCTGCCAGCAGTCCAGGCTGCGTGTCCCACGAGCAGATTTCGCGAGGAGCACCTGCGCGAAAGCGCCAGTGGTGCGCGACCTGCCACCCGGGTCAGAGCCCTGGGGTCGGACGAGGCCAGGACGAGGATCGATGCGTTCCAGAGCCTTCCGGAACGCTTTGGGAAGGCCGTGGCGCCCGAGACATCCTCCAGAGCCGCCGGATCTCGGAGGTGTTCGAATGATCCTCACCCGATTGTGCCCTCGTCCTGACTTCGTCTTGCGGGAGGTGGAAGCGGTGGCAGGACGCACGATTGTTGGTTCCCCCCTCCCTCACGGTCCTGGGGACCAGGACGACACGAGGTTTGAAGCCCATTGATGTCTCGCGCCGATTCGAAAGCCAATGACAGTGCCTCCACGCGCAGGGCCAGCGTGCCTGAAGCCGACTGGCTGATGGCACACGGTGGTGCCTTTTCCAATGGGGATTTGTTTGGGGGCTCTTTACTTGTTTTTGAGGCTCCGGTGGGTGCGAGGCGCGGTCGTCGCCGTGTTCCCCGAGGTTCCTTGGCTTTGGTTCGGTACATTGAAGCGGCCACGCGCAGAGAGTGGCAGGGGGAGGGGAGAGGCTTCTTAGAAGGAGTTTGCCCCTCAGAAGGCTCGGGCCTTACAGTCGGGTCGCTGAAGAAGGAACCCTTTTCGCTGGGAAGTGGCTCCGTGTTCCTTGAGTGTTTCACAGCTTGCCTCAGGTTTTCCTTAGGTTTTCGATGGGAAATCGAAGTTCAACTTCTGGAAAAAAGGGGCCTCGTTCCTTATTTAGGGTTCCTTAGGTCAACGCCCCGACTGTACACCTATATATTAGGCTGGCGCCTTCGAAGAAGTAGCCTCCTTCGAAGAAGCCATCCCCCCTCCCCCTACCCCCTTGTGCGTGCCGCCAGTTCAAGGTGATTCCCCGGGGGTCTTTGAATATGCTTCTTTGCAGTGGCGTTCCTTGGGGATGCTTGGCTTTCCTCAGGCTAACCGGGTTCCTCGGGTTTCTTTGGTCTTGTTTCCTTCTGCCGTTGTTGAGAGGCTGGTTTTCCTCGGATGTCGTAAGTTTTTGTTTGAAATGGCGTTCCCCGGGTTGCCTAGCATTGCAATGCCCAGCAAAGCAATGCAATACTAAGCAATGCCATGCAATGCCGCTTAGGGCTTAGGAAGCGCCCCCCTAATGCGCCGGGCTCGTTATGGTCCCTCGAGGTCGTCAAGGCCGAGAAGAAGAGCGCGGCGCTGAACGCCCACAGGGCCAGGATGCCCCTGGATAAGGCTCTCGAGCTGACCGAGGTCGTGGAGTCCGCGGTGGAGGCGGCGCGCGACTTCCTCGCCGCCGCACGGGAGCAGGTGCTCGGAGAGGAGGGGCCGCTCGAGACGGCGGCCGCCCATCCTGGCGTCTGGGCGTCTTGCGGCAGGGCCGGCCTTCTCGGAAGGCTCGGAAGTCCCTGGGCCGTATGTGAGAAGTTCTTTTGAAGCCTTCTTCGAAGGCACGAAAGAGCCCGTCAGAAGGCCGCCGCGCGCTGCTGAGGAGTCCCGCCGCCTACTGAGAAGGCCTTCTCCCTCGCACGTCCCCCCCATAACTCGCCGCCGACCGCCCGTGGAGAAGCCGGCCTCCGTCGGAGTCCGGCTCCGTCGGAAGCCGGCCTCCACCCCGAGACTGCGAAGTCTACATCACTTTACGAGCGGATGCGCGGCCTTTACGAGGAGGGCGCAACAAAGTTTATGTTCTCAAGTGTCTTATACTGCGTTTTTTTTCCCCGCCCCATCCGAGGTGCAGTGCCTGGCCGGCTTCGAGCCCGAGGTGCAGAGGCAGGCGGGCGTGGAGGCGGCCCGGCTGAACAGCCGGCTGACCTCCTTCGACAGCCGGCTCGCGCGGCAGGCGGGCTCGACGAAGGCGATTCGCGACAAGCTGCTCTTCCAGCAGAAGAAGGCCGAGCTGATGAGGCAGGCGGAGGCGGCCCTGCAGGCCCGAGGGAGACAGAAAAAAAGCGTGCCGCTGCCGCCGCCCTTCCCCTCGGGCCCCCCCCCTCTCCAGGAGGGAACAAAAAACACACAGACGCACTGAATCGTCGATCCCCAGGAAGATTCAGGAGGGGAAAAAACACACAGACACAATTAATCGTCGATTCCCAGGGAAATATGGGAAAATATGGGAAGTTGGGGGGAAGACAAAAACCCAGAAAATATTAGGAAATATGGGGAATATTTTTATTTGTGTGTATTTATTTGTGTGTCCAGGGGCCCCTTCAAAGATGTGGGAAGATATGGGAAGTGGGGGGGAGGACAAAGACCCAGAAGATAGGGGAAGCTATGGGGGATCCTGTTTTTCGTGTGTATCTACTTGTGTGTCCTGGGGCCCCCTCTCGCTCCTTGGGCCTCCTGGGAGGCCCACGCCGCCACGGCTGGCTTTCGCCTCGGAGTTCTGGTCGGAGCGCACCTGGGGAGGGAGGCCTGGAAAGCAGCGCTGGGAACAAAGAATACCATGCACATGACCTCCCGAGCCCAGCGCAGATTTCTTGGATCGGCGCTGGATCCCCCCCCCCCCTGGTGCGCGGAGCGCGCCAGGGGCGGCGCCGGAGGCGCCGCCAGCGGGCTCCCGCGGCCATCCGAGAAATCCGCGCGGATCTCCGAAAGTTGTGTTTGTGCCGTTTGTTCCCCGAGTGCGGTAGCTTCGTGCCGTGTCGACGAGGCGGCGACCCCGCCGCGGCCCAGAGTCGCCCAGTGAGGGAGCGACCTGGCAATCGGAGAGCCGCCGATCGTTTGGGAGTGAACGACCCACGCACTGTCAGAAACCACCGCCCAAGTCGTCGCGGCACGAGCCTGTCGAAGCGGTGTTGGTGTCTTCTTTCAGGAGGGGAAAAACACACAGACACAATTAATCGTCCACTCACAGGAAAATCTGGGAAGGGGGGGGAAGACAAAAACTCAAAAAAAACAGGAAAATATGGGGAATCATTTTATTTGTGTGTATTTATTTGTGTGTCCTGGGGCCCCTTCATTCTTGTTCTCCCCTGCAGGAGGCGAGCAGCAGCGGCGCGACCTGACCTTGCGGCCCTGACTGAGCGCGCCTCGAGGGGCGCCGAGAGTTTGTATGAAGGCCCGGGCGCCTCTCTCTAGCCCCGACAGGGGTGTGGCTTCTCGACCGCGATCACAAATAGGTGCACCCCTGCAGCGAGAGGAAATCGGCTTCCCGGGGACGCTGATGAGTATGGCAACAGTCGACCAGACGTAAGAGTGACCTTTCGCCGGAGTGACCTTTGGTGCGGGCACAGATGGGTCCCCAGATGGCTGAAAACGAAGCAGGAACAGCGGCTTGCGCGCCCAGGTTTGGTCCCCCAGCGGCCCCCCAAAAGCCGCGCACCAAAGGTCACTCTTACCCTGGGTCACTCTTGCGTGCAGCCGAAACAGGACTCGGGGAACGGCAAGTTGTACAAGCATGCACTTTCGCAGGTCCTCGAGGAGTTCTCCGATCTGCGCTGGACCCCCCCCCCCAGCGGCGCCTCCGGCGCCGCCGCCGGCACGCTTCGCGCGCCAGTGGACGGGGGTCCGCCGCCGACCCGAGAGATCTGCACGGACCTCCAACAGTTAGGGGTATGACCACAAGCTGGCGTCTCAACTACACCGAGCCCTCCCACAGGCCGCGAATTGCTCGGGACGGTCGCGCATGCGCTTCGCGTGGGCATTTGAATCCATAGACCCTCTGAAAATTCCTATCCGGGTATTCCGTCCTGGTGGGTGCAATCTGAAGCACGCACACCTTACCCAGTTCATGCAATTGAACATTAGCAAAGCCGCCACAGCCTAAACGTTACCAAAGACGGAGCTTCCTATGCCATTGCATTCGATGTGAACCATTCTCCCATCTACCAGCAATGTGCAGCTCGGCTAGACGGGGTTTGTGAAACTTTGTGTCATCAGGTTAGACATGGGTACGTGCGCCATTCAGAAAGACAATTTTTAGCAGCTGAACCACCACACCTGGTACAACCCCGCCAGCTGTCGTCTGGACCGCTTCTCCTGCTCCTGATGTTGCAGTTCCTCCTCATCGCCCCCATTCCTCATCCTTCGCGTCTCCCTCCTGCCCATCGTTCTGCTCGTCCGCCCCCTCCTCTTCCTATGCAAACAGCTCATGGTTTCCCCGATCATCCTGTGGTGTTGGGTCCTCGTTTTGACTCAGCAGCGCCCCGCGTCACCTCCTCTCCTCCTCCACCTCCTCCCTCCTGCCTCTGCCCTGGCACACCCTGGCCACGCTTTTCAAGCCCCATAGGAGCTTCACGGAAGGCCGACATGGAAAAAGTCCGCGTGCAGTCGTGGGGTCATGTCATTCGTGGTTGCTAGGCTTTTCAATCCCCAGAGGAGCTCCGCGGAAGGCCGACATGAAAAACAACGCATGCAGTCGCAAGCTCATTTCGCTTGCCCCTGCCACGGGTTTCAGGCCCCATAGGAGCCCCACAGAAGGCCGAAATGGAAAAGCCCACACGCAGTCGTGGGCTGATGTCGCTCGCCCCCGCCACGGGTTTCAATCCCCATGGGAGCTCCACCGAAGGCAGAAATTGACAAGTCCGCATGCAGTCGTGGGTTCGTTTCGTTCGCCGTTGCCACGCTCCTCAAGCCCCACAGGAGCTCCACGGAGGGCCGGATTCACTCAAGGGAGGTTTCGGTCCCAGGCCGTTTTCACTCAAGGGAGGTTTACTAAAGGGAAGTTTGTCCACCCCCGAAGGGAGCCTCACAGAAATCCCAACTGACAAAACTCGTTGCCTGACCACCCAGTTCGATCGCCCCTGCCGCATGCTTCAGGTCCTTGGCATTGCTCGGACGTGTGCACCTTCCTTGGCGAGGACCATCGAGGAGCATCTTGGATCATCCTGCGAGGAAAAATCACGCAGGCTAATTCTAGGTTGCGCGCACGACGGGGTCCTTTCGGGTGCTCCACGTCCGCTACGGCACCCGTCGGCGGATTCAGGCGTAGCAGAGCAATGGGAAAGGGATGGGAGGGTGGGGTAGGATGGCAAGTATGGCACGAGCTCGCCTAGATTGCGCCCTCATCCTTCTATTGCCTTGGTCCTCATCCTGTTCCTCCCTCCCTCGTCCCCGTGGGAGTCGGAGCAGACGGCGGCGATGAAGACGAGAGCCTCGGCCGAGGCGCCATTCTCCGTGCCCCCGCCGCCAACGCTGCAGCCGCTGCATCCGATGCAGCCGCTGCAGCCACTGCCGCAGTCCTGCCCCGGCGCGGGGGCGCTGGCGCCGCGAGACGACGACGCTGTCGCGTCGATGTCCCTCCTCCCGCCTTCCTCCCCCTCCCCAAGTTTCCTTGCCTCTCCGTGCAGGTTGCTTCACTCTCTGTGTCAAGCTCTCTTGAAGAAGAGCGTTTGTTCCCACGTCCGTCCCTCATCCTCGTCCTTCTCCTCTCCCTCCGTGCTTCCTCCACCTTCCTGCCTCCCTCTTTCTCATCTGGTGTTCTCAGTGTTTTTTCATCTCTCCTGGCCCTCGAGGGTTCCAGCGCCATCAGGCGCGCGAAGACCGCGCGTTCATCTGTTGCGAAGGCACCAGAGGGAGTTTAAACACTACGAGTTGAGCCGTCGTGTGTGCATTCTGCGGGACTCCAGGCCCGCGGCGTTTGGGAGTTGAACCGCTGCGAGACCCTCATCCGTCCTCTTTTCCACTTCGTTTTTCTATTCTGGCCAGCGGGAGTTCCGTAACGACCCGGTTTTCGACGATTGAGAGTTCCACCGCGTCGTCTTCAACCGTTTTGTGCATTGCTTGCGAAATTTCCAGCGCGACCCGATCAGCAGGTATCGGGTGTCGCCCATTTTTGAGTGCAATCTCTAAGCGGTCGCCAACCATCATAACGAGTACAGCCAGTTATAGTTTATCTAAGATCTGATACGCTCATGACATGATTCGGTAGCAAATCATGGGAGCCTTCTATACCGTCGTAATGCCGTCTTCAGAGTGCATTCGCGTCATGTCAAATAATCGATGAGATGGCGCCGATTTAGCGTCGGTGGGCGTCGATGTAGCGTCGATTGGCGTCGATTTAGCGTCGATTGGCGTCGATATAGCGTCGATCAGCTTCGATTCCCACGAGCCAAAAGGATGGTATGGGAGGCTCCCATGAGTTGTCACCGAAGTGTGACAACAGGTGGCGGCGGATTCCTTGGTCCTCCGAGTCCTCCCCACCCACTGCGAATGCACACTTTGAGTGATCCAGCACATCCTAGTCCTGGGCCACGGGGATTTCAACCACTTCGAGCCAGGCTTCCTCTCTGGGAGTCCGACCACTAACACTCGAGCGACCACCACCACACCACAAGGAGCGCTAAATGAGGGGCGAGCCTTCTTCTTGGCCACAGGAGCGCCTGGGTGCACGCAGGGCGCCGGAGGCCCGTCCGAACCCGAGCTGTTCCTCGTGTCAGCGTCCTGCCATCGCGTGCTCAACCAGGATGAACACAGCCCGACCTGCAGGCCAATGGGGGGGGGCGTCTCGTGCACCCGCTTCCCCACCACAACGTGAAGTGCGACGTCCACCAAGGACGCTGCAGGGCACCACGGGTCTTTCAGTGGCTCCAGCGTAGGGCTCCGGCGGGGCCCAGTCCATGGGAGTCCATTGGGCGCTCAACCCGTACATGCCAAGACATTCAGAGCACAACCGGCGCGCGTTGCCAGCACGACCTGGTCTGCGTCCACTGGGAGCTCGGCTGGGTCTTCCACCTCGGAGTCCTCGTCCATGGGGGGTTCTACGACTATGTGATTCACCGCTGTGTGTACCGTCAGCGCGGATTCCAGCAGCACCGAATCCGCTTTTCAAGACGTTCAACTACAGCCGGACCGAGGTATACGAACGAGGTCGGTTTGGGGAGGGTACCCTAGTAATCTTCGTGTTTGTTGGATGTTCTTGTGAATCCTGGGGGTGATACCCTTGGACTTTCTGTGTGTTTTGGCCGACGGAGGGTCCCACGTTATTGAGGGGTGCTTGTCTGGCTTACATCCTACTGTATTACGTGTTCAGTAGCCCCCCTTCCTCCCAGTAATTTCTAAAAATCAACGTATCTTCAGTGCTCGAGAGGAGAGTGACTGGCTCGTGGATGCAGCCCGACGAGCGTGGCAGAATTTGACAGACTCGCTTATCACTCTAGATTGCCAGGGGCAGTTGCTCAATGGCACCCGGATTCGATCGACAAGTGGATCTCAAGTACAGCTCCGCAGATGTGACGGGCATACAATCTACACACCTTCGGCAAATTGTGTAGTCAGAGATAAGTACAAAACCACATTATTTCTTAAACACGATGGTCGCAACCCAAATTTTGACAGCAATGGGCACAAAGTTTATGGGACGCCAGGTGTGCCGAGCCAGAAGTTCACATTCGTTGGCAATTCATGAAGAAGCACCGCACAAATACATCATCATTCGTTTCATGGTCAGCCTCCCGAGGAGCGTGGGCCTTAAGTTGAACAATGCGTCCTCCCCCATCGCCTATGTTTTTCCACTATTGGCGTTTGGCCGGCCTCTTCAGGAGTGTGGGCATTGCCAGGCCATGTGGAATGGTTCCCTTCGCCTTCTTCGCCCCCCCCATCCCCCCGAGGACAATCCAGTTCCGCTAGTCTCAACGCCATGCGTAGGCAAAGTTCCACATCGGGCATCAGGAGCCAACGTGCTTCCAGCGCTCTGGCACCTCCAGGACGATTGTCGGCGTCCTGTCCTGTCCTTCTCCCCAGTGTTAGGCCGAGCATGTCCCCCTACAGGCGGATTTTTTGGACGAAAAATTCTTTACGCTTCGCGTATCCCCACCAGCCCATCTCACAACAGCAACTCGAGCGAAGCATGGCGACAGTCGTGTTTTTCAGGCGTGTGTCCGTTTGGCCCCGCATATCTCCCCTGTTCCTCCTTCCTCCCGCCTCCTTGTACATCCTCCTTGTGGGGGGAGCGGGAGAAGGACGAGGCGGAGGAGGAGGGAGAGAAAGCGCTCCTCGTGATTTGAGTCGTTTGGGGTTTCTCGTCCTGGTGTGAGTCGTTCGGGCCCTTCTTCCTGGTGTGAGTCGTTCGGGCTCTTCGTGGTGTGAGTCGTTCGGGCTCTTCGTCCTGGTGTGAGTCGTTCGGGCTTCTCGTGGTGTGAGTTGTTCGGGCCCCTCGTCCTGGTGTGAGTCGTTCGGGCCCCTCCTCCTGGTGTGACTCGTTCGGGCTCCTCGTGGTGTGAGTCGTTCGGGGCC